TTAGATTTTAAATAGACTTCAGTGTAAGCACAAGCACATTATTATGTGTTCCAAGAAAAAACTTAAGCACAACTTCGTTCTTAACCATTGTCAACCTAAGAACAAGTTCAAGCAAGGTAAATGGGTTGCTTACCAACTGTAAGCCTGTTTCTGCTTCAAACAAGATGACTGACCGTAGAGGTATTCGAAGGCATTTCCTACATCTTTTGATACCAAAGAGACAATTGAAAGACAGAGAAAATCCTTTAGAAACATATTCTCGAGAAGGATGCTATAGAAAATTTCACTTCAACCCTGAAACCATTTTATTTATTTACCAATTAGTAAACAACACAAACACACAGGCTACTTTAAGATCAGGCGCTCTCACAATTATTCAGTCTGTTTGCACATGCTTGCGGGTTTTTTTAGCTTGTGGCACATTTTATATGTGTAAAGGGGTCATGTCAAATGCATCTAAATCGTCCATTTGCCGGGAAGCAGACGACCAATTTATGATGTACTTCGCATACCAAAATGGTTTTTATGACTTTAGAAAGCATCGTAGTCTCAGATTACCAGTCACATTGTGTTTAGACTCATACTTGACTTGTGCTTATGTAAGAACGGTCTTGAGAATTTTCTAGAGACGGTACTTTATGAAGTTTCTTATGTAAGAAAAAGTGAAACATGACTTTGTGCTTAAGAATTTTCTAGGAACCGGGCCCAGACAACGAGATGTGTGCATTTCCATTTCAGCCACCAGTATGTTATGTTCCTGTAGAATTAGGTCAGATGATTTGGGGGATACTGTGTTTTATCTATTTAGATATATACATATTTCATAATGCTATAAACTAGTGTCAAACAGATGAAAACATGCGTAGATGGTGTGAAATTCATTGTTATAAAATTGGCCGCTATTTGACTTCCAACTATCTGAGTAACCAAAAAACTGAATGAAATGCAAACAGTGTAACTGTGAATGCCGCGTGACGACTTGTGTTATCGGTATCTATGTTATATACGTCCGCTAATGTGACGTCACAATAATAGCCAATAACCAGCGATCTTTGGGTTATAAACATACATTTCAAGTTTCATCAAAATTGGATAAAAATTGTGACCTCTAGCTTGATATACCAGATGCTATACACTATTTACGTACGAGGGGCAGCCATTTATTTTTAGCAGTTTTGGCCCGATTTTCAAAAAATTTGAACTCAATAAACATTACGATGTAACAGTGATATATTCGATTGTTTTTTTTAAATCGGATAATAATTGTGACCTCTAGAGGAACAACAAGCTAAAAACATGATTTTTCATACAATCAGGGGCCATAATTCTGGAAGTTACTATCCGATATGCCCGAATATCGAAAGGAACCAAGATCTTTCGGTTATAAACATGCATTTCAAGTTTCATCAAAATCAGATCAAAATTCTGACTTCTAGAGGGTCCACAACCTTCGTATTACATACTTTTACACAATTAGCGTACAAAGAGCAGCCACTTTGTTGGGCAGTTTCATTTCAATTTTCCCGAAATTCGAATTCAACCTTCATTATGGTGGAATGGTGATATATTTAAACGTTTTTTAAAATCGGAAAAACAATTGTGACCTCTAGAGAATCCACAACCTAAAAATGCGATTTTTCTAACACAAAATGTGTACAAGGGGCGGCTATTTTGTCTGGCAGTTTTGGTCTGATTTTCACGAAATTCAAACTCAACCAAAATTACGGTGTAACAGTGATATATTTGAACTAGTGATAGGATTTTGGCTTGCCCGTATATTCTGGACTTGTCCGAATCTTTTTTCCAAACGCCCAAAATTGTCTGACCGGGAATATGCCAATCGGACATCAAGACATGGGGAATAATATTCAAAATTCCGAAATTAATATAGTTTACTGAGTGTATAACTACCACTCAACCAGATTATCGTCCATAATACGCTGGATTGATTAGGTAATTAAGTGATCAACGTATTTATCGGGTTATACGGTCTATAAACCTACCTTGATTAACTACTTAATCTGCCTTGATTGACTTGACTTAATCCTTTATCGGACAATTCATCAATCTAATCTTAAACAGAAGCCATTGTTTCCCCTTTGTCTGACTATTCATCAATCCATTATAATTTTAATCGCATTGATGTGAGCTGACAATATGTATAAACTAGTCATAGAAGTCACATATTGTAAGAGTATATAACAGCCAGATCAATAGACAGTCATTATAATTCGTCTGCGATATTACTTCAGTGGAAGCGAGCGTTAAATAAAGCTATTTCACACACACATATACGAAAAATACTAGACTTTGCTAGCACGCGGTTACAGCACTCGGGAAACCTCGGCAGAATCTGTTACTCTACATCTAGTTTCCGCTGTATGACGGAAAGTGATATGTACATGTACCTACGAACTTGCCGGTTTTAGAAAGAAGTTATCAAAATTGCGCCGTTCGAAGCATGTTTAGAATTTTCAGAGCAAAGTTGTCCTTGTTTGAAGAAAATCTGATTAAACTTGAAAGAAAAACAGCTTCAGACGGTTAAAGTACAATAGAAATCTCGCGAGACGCGTGAAATTATGAAATGAATATGTGACAAAATACATGCTTCTAATGTTGAAGAAAAGATTTTATTTTGGCATATTCTCAGATTTATGATCATATTTTGAATGGGGTTTATGTTTTTAAATAAAGAAATAAGTAATCTAGGCAATGTTGACGAATATGTCGATTGGAATAGTGCAAGTACTTAATTGTTTTAGACGATAGCGCGTGCTAGAGTAGAATGCGAATATTTAGCGGATGGTGTCATTCGCTCGTTGTGGTATAGCGATGTTTATTGGCCAAAAATTTCGGGATATCATATTCTTACCCTCTGTACATAAAGTTGTAACTGAGTATAAGACGAATGCCGGACTTCTGCTGAAAAATGTAGCAACTTATGATCCAAAAATACGGTAATGTTAGAGGAATTTGAAACAGTACAGATCGGCAGTAGTCGGCACGCTGTCATTCTATCGTATTACGAATTTTGTAGGAATATTACTGACATAAATTTGAATACCATACAGGAATTAAATATGAAAAATAACGAGGTGCACCTATTTTATTTATTACAGACGAATTTGAATATTTTGTTTACACATGATTTTTGTGTGTGGTCTAAAAACTGCCATCTTAAATAACGATAAGAGTTATGTCCATTTATTTTCGGTAAAAATGTCCGACAAGAAAAAGTTTGAAATCCCATCACTGATTTGAACGTTTTTTAAAATCGGATAATAATTGTGACCGCTATAGGGTCCACAATCTATAAACGTGATTTTCCGTACAATCAGGGTCCATAAATCAGGAAGTTATGGTCCGATATGCGCGAATATTGAAAGGAACCAAGATCTCTAGGTTATAAACTTATATTTCAAGTTTCATCAAAATCAGAAGAAAATTGTGACCTCTAGAGGGTCCACACCCTTGATATACCATATTTTTACGCTATCTGAGAACGAACGGCGGCCATTTTGTCTGTCAATTTTGGGCCGATTTTCACTAAATTCAAACTCAACCATCCTTAGGGTGTAACGGTGATATACTAAAAGTTTTTTTTTAAATCGGATAAAAAATTATGACCTCTATAGGGTCCACAAACTAAAAATGCTATTTTTTGAGTACAATCAGGGGCCATAATTCAGGAAGTTACAATCCGATATGCGCGAATATGGAAAGGAATCGAGATCTTTGGGTTATAAACTTACATTTCAAGTTTCAAAACAATCGGATAAATATTGTGACCTCTATAGGGTCCACAAGCTAAAAACGTGATTTTTCGTACCATCAGGGGCCATAATCCATGAAGTTTCGATCCGATACATGTCAATATCGAAAGCAGCCGAGATCTTTTGGGGATAAACCTATATTTCAAGTTTCGTCAAAATCGGATAAGAATTGTGACCTGTAGAGAGTCCACAAATAATTGTGGACGGACGGACGGACAGGGGCGACGACAATATACGTCCACATGAAAATGTAGGCATATAAAAATTGTGACCTCTATAGGGTCCACAAGCTAAAAACGTGATTTTACGTACAATCAGGGGCCATAATCCATGAAGTTACGGTCTGATACATGTCAATATATCAAAAGGAACCAAGATCTTAGGGAGATAAACCTATATTTCAAGTTTCATTGAAATCGGATAAAAATTGTGACCTGTAGAGTGTACACAAACAATTATGGACGGACTGACAGGGGCGACGACAATATACATCCACATGAAAATGTGGGCATATAAAAATTGTGACCTCTATAGGGTCCACAAGCTAAAAAAGTGATTTTACGTACAATCAGGGGCCATAATCCATGAAGTTACGGTCCGATACATGTCAATATCGAAAGGAACCAAGATCTTAGGGAGATAAACCTATATTTCAAGTTTCGTTGAAATCGGATAAAAATTGTGACCTGTAGAGTGTAGCGAATTCAGTGTCAACATCGGCAAATTGCCGTCGTGATATTCTTATTTGTTTTCTACGTCAATTTCGCTAAATACTATGGCAATTGTCGCTGTCGCCGTCGTGAATTTTGACCCCTGCAATTGAACATTACCTGCAAATCTGAATAATATCTGAAGAGAGAAATGGAGTTTAACGTCTACTCGACACAAACTAGGTCATTTGGGACTAACATATGGTTCTATTTTATTTCAACAAACACTTGTGCATAGGGGTATTTACCAGTGGGAGGAAACCGGAGGACCCAGAGAAAACCCACAAGGTTGGAGAGGCGACCCTACTCCTTGTAGGAATCGAAACCACACCAGTTGATTTAATGACAGACCTTATGTCATGATACAGCACGCACATGCTAACCATTCGGCCATCCAACCCCTCAAAAAGAACTGTAGTATGCACAGCATTTGTAAGCAAGGTTAGAAGGACTGACAGGAAGACATGAAGACAGTATAAATCCTCATTAAATGTAGGCATATAAAAAAAAAACTTACCTTCTGACACTTCCCTTCTTTGAAAAATTTACATTGAGGTCTCTCTGATCTCGGTAATTCAACAAGTGGTGTTTTTCTAGAACAATGTTTTGATCCTCTGCCTTCTGATTGTTTTGATTTATGTTTTTTTCTTGATAACCTTTTGCTACCCTTCTCCATATCCTACAAAAAGATAAAATAAAGAAAACTTATTGTCTAATAAAATGGTACACAGGAATATCAATAAACAGATAAATTTCAAAAAGTTGCCATAACATTCTGTGTACATTAGTTATTGAGTACAAAAATATGATCTAAGTTATACAGGTGCATTTATGTTTCTATAAATAAGGATCTAACGATTGATCATTAAAAACCCAACCACAACCCGTTAACCGATTATTCACAATTCCGGCGAGGGCACTCGGGGTGCAAACTTAAACACTTCAGAACTGAAAACTGTTGCCAGGTTAAACTAACCGCTACAATACCAATGAGGAGAGTTTCATACATTGTAACAATGTCTGCACATGATCAGACAGTCATAGAGAGATGAAATAAACAAGTTTATTGCGTATTATTCGTTTTGAAATGTATCAGTTGGTTGGCCTTGAACTTGCATGTCGCTTTCGTGACCTTGGCATTTGATTTACTCGCAGGCGTCAATGGAAATAATGCGTATCGATATACTAAATGGCTTGAATTTCGTAGTTTTATGGTATTTTGGATAACAGAAACTATTGAGAAATTGTCACAAACATGTGATATTTCTGACTCAAACGATTAAACTAGACTAAAGTATTGTCGAATTTTAAAAGTATTTAACAACTTTTAAACTAATACACGAAATAACCAATGTTCCGATGCCTAGATGTTGTTATTGGGGTTTTAATTTGGGTCGTCATCTAATTGCTTATATTGCCTTACAATAAAATAAACGGGTGGGCCGAAGCTATATTTCCCATGCAATGAAAAGAAATTGAATGAAAATTATTTTAGTATGTTTAAATTATATAACCCGGACCATTGGCAATATTATCATTATCTATATGTCGCAATAGATTTCACATCGTAGCTCTAATCAATGTTTGTTACTGTCGTGATTTTGAGTTAGGAGAGGGTGACGGCTGTCCTAAGTTTAAATTGATTTTAGTAAAATTGTCCCTAAAATAGTTTTGTGAAACGCCACTATTATAAGTTAAGATACAATTTTAACTTACAATATTATTTTAGTGGATTTTATCTAAAATGCTTAAAATCGTTTTGTGAAACGCATCTATCTTTAGTTAGGATGGAATTTTAGTTTAAGACGATTTTAAGGAGATTTAAGTTTTTGTGAAACAGGGCCCAGGTTTATTGATGTACTTTTTTATTAAAATAAGTTACAAATATTTTAATGAATTACATCATTTAAGACAGACATTTTTCCCATCATTTTTTATCAAGATTTTAGAATACATTGAAATAACATTTGTTTTAAAATTTTTAATTTATTTTTGTATAATTATAATGGCAAGTGTGTCTTCTTGAAAACAGACTTCAAAATATACTGATGAGAAAAGTAACAAGTTCCAAAAATTGAATTGTTTAGATCCCCAGTGAAAATTTGACTAGTCTGTCCATCCACTACATTATTGAAGTGGTCTTACATTTGTTTTGTAAACTTTGTATTTTTATGTCACATGGAAATAAATTTGTCCCTTTGTGGAATGGCTGTTTATGTTTTAGTATATGCCATTTAAAAAAAGCAGGAAAATGGTTTGGAAAATCAAATTTTCATGCTTATATATTGCTAACGTTTCGTCCAATTGATGTCTGTCCAGTTTTAGCGAAACGTTGGCATTATTTTAATATTTCTTTTCGGCTTCATAATACGTGATAGAATTTGAATAACCGCTGCAAACGAAGCGTGAGTGTAGTCTCGATCTTCCACACAGGATACGGATAATTTGACACGGGTAGTTGATTGATTATGCCATTTTTACAGTTGTCTGTTCGAAAATGTTAACGTTAGCACTTTTGATACGTTAGCACCACTAATTCGCCTTTCACTGCATTATTTACTCAAAATGTATCACTTTCTTTACAGCCTTTAGAAAAGAAAACCGGCTTTCCGATTCCCGATGGATAAACATGGCGGTCGGCATTCTTGTATTATTCACTCGATCAAAATGACTTTGACCCCCGCAAAAAAGTGCTAATGTGTCAATTGTCAGAACGATTAAATAAACCGTCTGTCCTTAAGTAACGTTAGCACGTGCTTTTAAAATACCTTTTGTCCGATTTTAAATTTAAAACTCGCCCAAGGGTAGAAATACTATACAATTCATTAATACCTTTCATTGCGGACTATTTGAATTTTTTGTTAAAAACAATAATTCAAGTAATACGGTTATTTATAAAATGTCCATGTCTGTCCTTATGTAACGTTAGCAACAGTTGCATGCCCGATAAATGTTTAAATTTTAGGTTATTAAAATATATGATTATATTAATCTTAAATTCTTAATCTTATGCTTTATTTAGCATGTAAAAAATCTGAGTAACTACTTACATCAACACTATAAATAGAAATTTTCTTCAAACTTTAGTGCTAATGGTACAAATCTGCCAGAATGTCTGTCCACATGTAACATTAGCAATGCAATTAATTTTTAAATTAAAAATTAATTTGTAAATCATATCCCATGAAACTTCAGATTTAGATAATGTATTATTACATTAAACTTTTGAAGAAAATTATTAATATATACTGAGCGCCATGGAAAACGCATCACTTAGTTTTTCGTATAACAAAATGATCCGGTAAACATATCTTATTTATTTTGCTTCTTATTGTGACAATATTCAAACGGGAACACATCAATAACAACACATTAGTACACTTATGGATGTTTAATCTGTAATCAAGGGTACAAAGTCAGAGCGGTCAAAACCAAAAGTACAACACAGATGTCAGTAGCGTGTGTGTCTTCCACGGGCCATCATCACGACCCTTGCAAATGTTTAGGGCGGTCCAGTGATGAAATGTGAAGCCTCCCCACACCATTAGACTTCCCCCACCCCATCGATTCGTTTCGAAGACGCAGCAGTCTGCAAGACGTTCCCCAAGACGTCTCCACACACGTTGACGGCCATCAGCGTGATAAAGATGAAAGCAACTCTCATCACTGAAGAGCACACTTTGCCAGTCTACTCTTCTCCATGTCTGGTGTCCTTGAGCCCATATCAAACGCCGCTGACGGTGATGATCCCTGAGGATAGCTCCAACATAAGGTCGTCGGGCATGGAGTCCTACTTCTCTTAGACGACGTCCTATGGTGTTGGCACTTACTGGTCCTTGTCTTCCGACGACTGCTGCACCTGTTCGAGTCGCTGGGCGGAATCTGTCACGCAGATGAGTGACCCGGATGTAGCGGTCTTGAGCCTGGGTTGTAACGCGTTGTGGACCAGGACGTTGACGGTCAAGTGTTGATCCAGTAACTCGAACACGTTTCACCAACCTTAGAATAGTGGACTGATGACAATAGCATGTGTAGACATGCCAGCCCTGGACATTCCCATGGCTTCATTCCGTTGATTTTCAGTAAGTCTCGGCATCTCTAGCTCGATTCCTTCACACGTCCAACAACAAATTACGACAGACTGACGTTTCACAGTTCATGTACTGCACACAACAAATTACAATAGATTGATGTTTCACAGTTCATGTACTGCACATTAAGTTGGAAACATGCTTTTAAAGGGCTCACACACAATGCTGCACGTGAATATTTGGTTTTTCATGTGTATCTCGTGCAATATTTTTTGTGCACACGGGATGATATTGGGAGCATTGTGTGAACAATAGTTCATAGTATTGCATAATATTATACATACAAAACCACCTAGTAATAAAATATTTGGGAAAAAAACGTGATGCGTTTTCCATGGCGCTCAGTATATATAAGCAACAGTTAATATCTGAAAGGAAAATAAATGTGCCATGCGTCTGTCCAATTCAAAAGAGACATTTTATATTTACTAAAATGGTCATCTTTACTGTCTTATGACCCAAAAATAATAGCATCTTCATTCATTTAACATAATTCAATGTATATTTTACCTATAGAGATTGCTATTTATATGAATTTTAATGTGCATTGTTTGCATTTGATATAATTTCCATCTAGAGTGATACGATTCAAAAAATTTCAATATGTTAGGCAAGGCCCTACATGGCGACTAAAACACTCGCCATGGCGATCGAATATATTTTCTGGCTAGTTAAAATTTTCACTTGAGTCGCCAGCTGGTGTTCTTTTTTCTGCATTGTTTTATATTTAGCATTATGATAAAGATTAAAACCAGCGGCTGCCAGGCAGGATACGCCCACATTTTTGAGAGATGGATAGAGAACAAGCTAACAAGAAAGTGATTTTTCCTACAATCAAGGGCCATAATTCAGGAAATTACAATTCAATATGCGCATATATCGAAAGGAACTGAGATCTTTGTGTTATAAACTTACATTTCAAGTTTCAACAAAATCGGATAAAAATTGTTACCTCTATAGGGTCCACAACCTTGATATACCATATTTTTACGCTATTTGAGAAAAAACGGCGGCCATTTTGTCTGTCAATTTTGGGGCGATTTTCACAAAATTCAAACTCAACTGTCCTTAGGGTGGAACGGTAATATAATAATACGGTTTTCTAAATCGGATAAAAATTATGACCTCTAATGGGTCCACAAGCTAAAAACATGATTTTTCGTACAATCAGGGGTCATAATTCAGGAAGTTACGGTCCGATATGGGCAAATATTGAAAGGAACCGAGATCTTTGGGTTATAAACTTATATTTCAAGTTTCAACAAAATCGGATAAAAATTGTGACCTCTATAGGGTCCACAACCTTGATATACCATTTTCTTACGCTATTTGAGAACGAACGGCGGCCATTTTGTCTGTCAATTTTGGGCCGATTTTCACGAAATTCGAATTCAGTCGTTCCTAGGGTGTAACGGTGATATAATAATACGTTTTTTTAAATCGGGTAAAAATTATGACTTCTATAGGGTCCACAAGCTAAAAACGTGATTTTTCGTACAATCAGGGGTCATAATTCAGGAAGTTACGGTCCGATATGCACGAATATCGAAAGGAACCGAGATCTTTGGGTTATAAACTTACATTTCAAGTTTCAACAAAATCGGATAAAAATTGTGACCCCTATAGGGTCCACAACCTTGATATACCATTTTCTTACACTATTTGAGAACGAACGGCAGCCATTTTGTCTGTCAATTTTGGGCCGATTTTCACGAAATTCGAATTCAGTCGTCCCTAGGGTGTAACGGTGGTATAATAAAACGTTTTTTTAAATCGGGTAAAAATTATGACTTCTATAGGGTCCACAAGCTAAAAACGTGATTTTTCGTACAATCAGGGGTCATAATTCAGGAAGTTACGGTCCGATATGCACGAATATCGAAAGGAACCGAGATCTTTGGGTTATTAACTTACATTTCAAGTTTCAACAAAATCGGATAAAAATTGTGACCCCTATAGGGTCCACAACCTTGATATACCATATTCTTACGCTATTCGAGAACGAATGGCGGCCATTTTGTCTGTCAATTTTGGGCCAGCTTTCTCAAAATCTGAACTCAGTCATCCATAGGGTGTAACGGTGATATAATAGAACGGTTTTTTAAATCGGATAAAAATTATGACTTCTATAGGGTCCACAAGCTAAAAACGTGATTTTTCGTACAATCAGGGGCCATAATTCAGGAAGTTACAGTCCGATATGCACGAATATCGAAAGGAACCGAGATCTTTGGGTTATAAACTTATATTTCAAGTTTCAACAAAATCGGATAAAAATTGTGACCCCTATAGGGTCCACAACCTTGATATACCATATTCTTACGCTATTTGGGAACGAACGGCGGCCATTTTGTCTGTCAATTTTGGGCCGATTTTCACGAAATTCGAATTCAGTCTTCCCTAGGGTGTAACGGTGATATAATAATATGTTTTTTTAAATCGGGTAAAAATTATGACTTCTATAGGGTCCACAAGCTAAAAACGTGATTTTTCGTACAATCAGGGGTCATAATTCAGGAAGTTACGGTCCGATATGCACGAATATCGAAAGGAACCGAGATCTTTGGGTTATAAACTTACATTTCAAGTTTCAACAAAATCGGATAAAAATTGTGACCTCTATAGGGTCCACAAACTAAAAACGTGATTTTTCGTACAAACAGGGGCCATAATCCATGAAGTTTCGATCCGATACATGCCAATATCAAAAGCAGCCGAGATCTTTTGGGGATAAACCTATATTTCAAGTTTCGTCGAAATCGGATAAGAATTGTGACCTGTAGAGAGTCCACAAACAATTGTGGACGGACAGGGGCGACGGCATAATACGTCCACATGAAAATGTGGGCGTATAAAAAACAACGCGTAATATGTAGTAGTGATTTACGTTACAGACTACAGTTAATAGCATTGTAATTTCTGGCTACTAAAATTTTGGTGCTGGCTAGTAAATTTTTAGCATTTAGTAGCCAGTGAAGACTAAATTTTCCATGCCCATATTGACCCTTGATGTTAGGTATACTGTTTAATAAAAAAATTATTTTGCAAAAAATTATCTTTTTTAAAATATTTTTTGGAAGAATATGTATCAATCTTCTCTGAGACAGGGATTCTGTAAGAGGAATTGGAATTTCATAATTCAGATGGGAGTGGGAACCTATGGTACACTTTAAAAAAAAACCATGCCATACTTGTTCACGTTATTTTACCATTATGATAGAGAAAAGTCATAATTTTAGTGGAACTGACTTTTCAATATTATTTATAGCAATATAATTGCTACTTTGTACAATTGAATTTTATATCATTGGAAAGAACAAGACAATCTGTACATTTTTGTAACAGAGTATTTCTTTGTATAGAAAATATTCTTTTAGTTATTTGCAATTTTTTAGAGGGTATTAGAATTAACAATAATCCACTAATTGGCTCAGGGAGATGAGCCCTGCTGATTTAATGAGCTTAGGAGTAGGATAGCTAATCTTTTAATTGGCTCAGGGTTAAATGGGTTAAAATAAGCCTTCCATAAAGCTTTTTAAGGCAACACAAATAAAATAACTTGTTTCTCGGGCACCGCCCGCACGCAAAATTGGTTGCGCGTGCAGTCTATTTATTAGTCTTGATGAAAAAAAATAAATATGTAACGCCCGCCCGCACATCGACAAGCAAGTCGTAAAAAAAATATCCCGCATGTACCTACATCCGCCATACATGTATATCTATTCAAATGTATTAAAACTGATTCAGATGAACATGCTGTCTTTTTTATCCGAACAATGGCGAAGTTTGGCAGATTTGCCTTTTTTATTGATCTCGAAAGAACCTCCATTTTGTATCACGTGATATTAATTACCTCCCCTGATAAACTAGAATTTGATTCGTGTTAAAAGTCATTGGCGACAATATTTCAATCATTCGATCGTAATCGGCTCATTATTGCCGGCTTCAGTCGGTCCTTGTTTGGAAAATCCTATTGATAAAAAAATGAACCGTAGAACAGGTTAATTAATTATAGCTAAGAATACGATACGATGACGATAGTCGTCATAATGCATACCTTAGAATCTGGGTCATTATTAGCACATTTACGGTAGTTTCGATAATCCGGAAAATAATAATTGGATTACCGATTTGATGGTTTTACTGACCAGTTGTTAGTTAGATTTAAATAGTCATTCAATATAAACACCGGATAGAACACCGAATATCCTGAGAAACACACCGAATATCCCAAGAAACAGTATTTCCGGCAATCTCCAATACCGATGACACGGTGTGACATGCATTGGTTGGAATTCGGTAAATAATTATAAATAAACCGGCGATACTAGATTTAGTTTTAAATACTGTTTACCATGATTATTATTTTTGATACACCTGGTGAAAGAGGCTTAGTTTTTAAAAATATTGTTGTCTTTATGGAGGGCTATTACATAGTCGTATGGAATTTTATTTTAAACCAATTTCAATTATGTGAATTAAATATGGAAAATTATTTTCCTTTCAGTCAGTGTTCAGTCTCAGTGTTTTAGTAGACTTGATTTTGGGTTTATGTTTTAAGTATGTACAATAAAGTTGAATATAACGGAAAGCAAAAACGTAAACAAGTAATGACTTTCTCATTTTAAAAAAAAAAAAAAGAAAGACCGCCCTCCCGCCCCAACAATTTTCAGCAATAGCCAAATTTTATTTTGCACCATCAATGAGTAAAAAAAAAAAAGAAACCGCCCTCCCTCCCTACAGTTTCAGCTGTCAGTTGCCCGAGAAACAAGACATTTATTTTGTGTGGCCTAATGCACACTGATTAAATAACATAATTTGTAAAACTTACCACTGATTGTTTTTCCTGTGCACTAATACTGACATCCATAAAATCATCTTGTACTAATCCTAACATACTTATAGGACCCCTAAAATCAGACAGATAAATAAATGTTAGGTAAAAAAAAAAAATCGTATTATTTTATAGTTATGATTCATGAAACATATGAGTACAAAAATCATTTTTATGGATAGGGCTTGACTGCTGCAAATCCATATTTCAATTCTTTAACAAAAAAGAATCTATCATTTTCTTGACAACTTTTGGAAGAGCTACCATTTTACATCCAAATTAACTGGGAATCAAAATATATGCATGATCATATAATCATAGTGTTTGATATAATATAAGATTTGTACACTATACAAAATCGGATTAAATACAAAGCTTATACCTCTATATTGACACATAAAATGACATGATTAACAGAAGATAACATGAATTAATCAATAGTTAAAACTGTGATCAATAAATTATGCATATAGCCTTCATCTTTACAGAATACAGTAAAGATAGGTTGCCAGGCAACGAAACATACGCCCACAGCAGCTAAATCGTCCGGGGAGTCAACAACAGTTGTCGTATATTCTTACTTTTTTCGGTAATGAAACATTTATAATACACTAAAATCTGATTAAGAGCAACAACTCTTGAAGTAATTATCAGAAAAACCATTAGAATTTATTTGGTTTTTATAAAGTTCTGCCCCATGCTAACGCTTTGTATACAAAACTTTTAATATCATGAATTTGTTCAAGTCATAAAAATTCATTGAAAATCAATATACTTGTTCGTCTCAAGATCTTAAACTCTGTGTATCAATCTGAAGTCAATAGGATGATAACTTTAGCCTTTAGAGCGGAAATCGTTGAAAATCAAGGACCATAACTCTGGCAGTAATTATTGGAAATCGCTGAAAATCAATAGGCTTCTTCGTCTCATGACCTTAAACACTGTGTATAAATTTAAGGTCAATCAGATATTAACTTTGGCCTCTAGAGCGTCCACAAGATTTTTCAAAGTGATCAAGGGCCATAACTCTGGCAGTAATTATCAGAAATCGCTGAAAATCAATAGGATTCTTCGTCTCATGACCATAAACACTGTGTATAAATTTAAGGTCAATCGGATATTAACTTTGGCCTCTAGAGTGTCCACAAGATTTTTCAAAGTGATTAAAGGCCATAACTCTGGCAGTAATTATCAGAAATCGCTGAAAATCAATAGGATTCTTCGTCTCATGACCATAAACACTGTGTATAAATTTAAGGTCAATCGGATATTAACTTTGGCCTCTAGAGTGTCCACAAGATTTTTCAAAGTGATTAAAGGCCATAACTCTGGCAGTAATTATCGGAAATCGCTGAAAATCAATAGGCTTCTTCGTCTCATGACCTTAAACACTGTGTATAAATTTAAGGTCAATTGGATATTAACTTTGGCCTCTAGAGCGTCCACAAGCAATTGTGGACGCCGGACCGACGGACGGGGGCGACGACAATATACGACCACATTTCAAACGAGAGTTGCAATAGAATTGGCCTCACACAAACATTACTCATTCCTAAAAATTAATGGGAAATTATCTCCTCTACCTTCATGATGTCTGTGTTTAAATTCCAAGGAATGCCAGTTTTCATGACATTATTTTGATTATATTTATAATGCTTATTTTCTAGGTTAAAGAAATTAGTATGACTACTGCTTTCAAAATAATTTATTTAAGATAGGTTGAAAGGCAACAAACATACGCTCACAGCAGCTAAATCGTCTGAGCAGTCGAGAAGGGTTGTCGCATATTTATTCTTTTGTAGGTAACTGGGGGCATTTAAAGGCCAATTTAATACAGATCAGATTATAACTTTTGTCTTTTGAGGGTTCACAACGTTCTACAAACTGAACAACGGCCTTAACTCTGGAAGTAATTTACAGAAAATATTGAAATTTGACAGGCTTTTTTCGTTTTACTAATTTTTAAATAATGCATATAAATTTCATACAGATCGGATGATAGCTTTTGTCATTCAAAAGTTCACAAGGTTCACAAAGTAAAACAACGGCCATAACTCTAGAAATAATTGACGGAAATTGCTGAAATTCAATAGAGCTCCATTTCACAAATTTAAATGATGCATATAAATTTCATACATATCAGATGATAACTTTCATCAATCAAGCATTAACAAGATTGAACAAAGTGAAACAGGGTCCATAACTGTAGAAGTAATTAACAGAAATTGCTAAAATTCAATAGGCTTCACTAATTTAAATAATGCAAATAAATTTCACAAAGATTGGACGATAAATTTTGGCGTTAGCATTCACAAGGTTCAATAAGTGAAACAAGTGTAATAACTCCAGATGTAAGCAACGGAAATTGCCGAAATTCAATAGGATTCTTCTTTTTGCTAATCTAACTGACGCATATAACTTTCATACAGATCGGTAGATAACTTTAGATGTTAGAGCTTTAAATGGTGCAACAAAGTGAAACAAGGGCCAAAACTCTAGAAGTAATTAACAGACATTATTGAAATTAAATAGGCTTCTTCATCTCACTAATATAAACAACATATATCAATTTTTAAAGAATCGGATGATAACTTTTGTTGTTAATAAGAAATTGTGGACGATGGAGATGGCAATATACGTCCAGATTTCAAAGTGGGCGTATCAAAAAGTGGTATACCTGTCATCACCTTCACCATCAGAAGGACTGTCATATAAACCAGGTGGACTATCATATGGACTATCATATAAATCACCAGTAGGTGAATGACCACCATTACCCATATTATCATGATCTGTATATTTCTTCTGACGTCTATTACTATGTTCCTGTTCACCTATCCACGTCATATCATCTTCATCATTTATACGATCATGATCAACATATCTCTTCTTCTTTGACCTCTGATAACAATAAATTACAAATATGTATAATATTATTTACACAGAACATTCAATATATTCCCTGATACCATTTCTACATATGCACACATTTCAGTATGGACGCATCACCCTGTCAGTCGATCGTCAAAAATTGGCTTGTGAGTGCGATAGATGATACAGCTTTTAAGAGAATTTTTTAAAGCTTGGATTGAGGACAAAGAAAATAGGACTTAGTGTTACTCGACCTTCCTTTCAAGAGTTAACCCCCCTTTGCAGAAAAACTTTGAATGCGATAGAGGCTACAGTTTTTTACATTTTTTTTTTCTATTTCAATTTTGTAAATAAGATAGAGATCAGATTTCACGAAGGCCCCTTTGGACCCTTATCAAATAGGTCAACACTTAAGTTTTCCTTTTGGATAAGCTGCTATTTATGGCTATCGTTTTGCTTGACCATCAAATACCAACCTTTCTAGCGTCGCCTTCTTGGCTTTTATCTCGTTTTGATCTTTTACGTTTTCTCTTGTCTTTTTTAGAGCTTTTTGGTTTATCATCCTGTTGGACTTCATCCAAGTTCTCAACACTTTCTTCTATAAATATAAAATCATACATGTACTATCAGTTTCTTCAACTCAAGTCCTTACTGTACCATTTTCCATTTTCTTGGATGAAAATGAAACTGGGATGCTGTTTGTTTTTTTCCTGCTAGTAAAGGTACCAGAAATTTATAAAATATAAAAAGTTAAATGTAAGTTCATTCTCTTAACTTTGGGAAATTTGGATGGGTCACCAAATAGTCTTGGACCAGAAATAAAGAAATTTATAGAGTATAAAAAGTTAAATGTAAGTTCATTCTCTTTACTTTAGGAAATTTGGGTGGGTCAACAAATTGTCTTGGACTTTACAACAAAGATAATAGGTGAACTCTATTATCTATGCAAGCCATTTCTACGGCTACTCTAGTTTCCAGTCCTGCATTCATGCAAAGTAATAAAGTAAAGAAATATATTCTAATCCTTAGCTAATGATCGTTTTATTTAGAAGATTATTATTTTGATCTCGGTCAGAAAATTGCCATGGTGTAAGGCTTTACCAGTTCGGACATTTATTTTGTTCATTCCTTCAATGTGTTTTAATGTTTTTCGTATCATGGTTATTTTCATCTTTTAAATATGTCTTATGTAGATGGCGCTCTTGAGCAAACAGCTTGTTGGATATTCAGCGCTTTATAAATAGATTATGATTATTATTATTATTATTATTAATTGAACATTCAAACAACAATACCAGTACATAGAATAATAACTCACTTTGAATATCTGTACCTGTTTCCGCAGGCTCATCATCTATTTCTCCATCCTCTAATTCCCCATCTTCTAACTGTTCATTACCATCATCTGATACAGCTCTCATCTCGACTTTACCTTCATCTTCTATTTCACTGTCCTTCTCGGCTTCTATAACATTTTCCTCACCAGCATGAGCCACCGTATCTGGTTCATCACATTCATCAGCACTCATCTTAATTCATTCTTTCTACTAGATTATGTTCCTACAATTGTAATGACAAATCACTTTACTTTAATACTGTATCCCTGAAATAAGGTAAAGGTGGGTGATTTGATTACTACTTATATTTTATATTTTCTTTTTCAAACTCGATTCAAAATACAATATAAGGCTCAGATATTAAGTGGTCCAGTGTACTGTGAAAAGAGCATAAGTCAGTAATGTATATAACAAGATAGCCAGGAAAATATACCTCCACAGCAGTTATAGCCATAGGCAGCAGCTAATCCGAAACATAGAAGTTGATCAGATTTGAATATGAATTTTCTGCCTTCAAAAAATCTGATCTGTATTGACATGTTCACATGTTTGAAAACAATCTGTTAAACACTGTTGCTTCTATTGTGATCACCTCTGTCCTCACATCACCCCAATGTTTCACCAAAAAATTGAAATTACCCAGTTAAAGATAGGTTGTCAGGGAACGAAACATACGCCCACAGCAGCTAAATCGTCCGGGTGGTCAACAAAGGTTGTCGCATATTTATTCCTTTGTAGGTAATTGGGGGCCTTTACAAGACAGTTCCATACAGATCAGATTATAATTTTTGTCATTTGAGGGTTCACAAGGTTCTACAAAATGAAAAAATTGTTGAAATTCAATAGGCTTCTTTGTTTCACGAACTTAAATATTGCATATAAATTTCACAAAGATCGTATGTTAACTTTTGGCATTAGAGCGTTCACAAGGTTCAACAAAGTGAAACAGGGGCCATAACTCCAGACGTAATAAACGGAAATTATTGAAATTAAATAGGCTTCTTCATTTCACTAATGGAAACAACATAATTATATCAATTTTTAAACAATTGGATGATAACTTTTGGCGTTAAGAGCATTCAGAAGAAATTGTGGACGGGTGGACCGACCGACGACGGACAAACGGACCAACGGGGGCGACGGCAATATACGTCCACATTTCAATGTGGGCGTATAAAAAGGGCCTCAACTCTGGAAGTAGTTTACAGAAATTGTTGAAATTTGACAGGCTTTTTTGTTTTACTAATTTAAATAATGCATATAAATTTCATACAAATCGGATGATCACTTTTGTCTTTCGAACTTTCACAAGGTTCACAAAGTAAAACAAGGGCCATAGCTCTAGAAATAATTGACAGAAATTGCAAAAATTCAATAGATCTCTGTTTTACAAATTTAAATGATGCATATAAATTTCATACATATCGGATGATAACTTTCATCAATCAAGCATTAACAAGGTTGAACAAAATGAAACAAGGGCCATAACTCTAGAAGTAACTAGAACTGCGATGCAGTAATGACAGGTTTCACCGGTGCCATGTTACCCTTGAACTTATGTCACTTCCGGTGCCACGTTACCCATGAACTTAAGTAACTTACGGTACTAATGAAACCGTTGAACAGATTTCCACACAAACATTGCACAAGTGTTGTGAAACAGAGGCAGAATCAACTAAATCATTTACATTTGTCCATTTGTTACCATGTGTTACATATGTCAAAATAGTGATCCTGACAAAATTGGTCACTAAATTACATGTACCGGTAAGTTAGCCGACGAGAATTTCTACAGGGAAATTAAAATGCGAAAAAAGATTACTTTCATGTACATTTTGATCTTACCATTACTGACCTTAATTAAAATTTGGTCAAAATTAAAGAAAACCTTTTATCTAAAATGTTTCAAATATTTTCATATAGGCAAAAATTTCTTCTTTTACAATAAAGTGTATACCATTTAAACAGCATCTAGTAATTCAACACATTAAATTAAACACAATGTTCTATGGAATATACAGTAATTGTTTCTATAGAACTCTTGTGTTTAATTTAATAAAGTGTAGCCTATTTCAGAAGTTCCAGAAAAGGGAAATTGGGACTAAAGCAGCAATAAATCTATGCAAGCCAGAAAAATTTGTTAATAATAGGCCTACATGTACTTATTGTTTAAAATGCATATTAATTGAACATACATTATGCAATAGCTAAATCTGCCTATTGCAGGTCTTTCTTTATGCCTGAAATGTTATCTAAATTAATCATTAATCAACTTATCCAGACCATAATTAACTCTTGATGTCATCACTAGCCTGCAATATTAACTGGATTTGAATACATTTTACGTCAAAATGCATAATCAAGACTTTGTTTTTTATCGTAACGACTTTAGTAATGATGATCGAGGCTAGGCCTAAAATTCAATTGCTAATACCTGACATGTGAGCTCAGTTCAGAGTCGAGCAATTTGACTTAAATTTTCAGCATATTCTATTTACGTTATCTATTTTTTAACTATTATAGCGATAACTGTCAGCTCTTTATCTAATCTCCCATAATGCCCCTTTTAGTAACTTTTAACCATTTAAGCTGCAATATTTTTGAATAACGCAATATGTTTCTATCTCTTTATATAATGTCTCTTACTGTAAACAAACGTATCCTGTTAATTTAATAATAAGAGTTTTATACAAATCAAACATTAAATAATAAATCTAGGACCGAAAAACTAAATTAGCCAATGGCGGCTAACGCAAATTACTGAGACAAAAGTTTCTCACATTTTTGCTCAAGTGTAAAATACCATAAAAAAATATTCATAAATGAAAAATTTCTTTGTAAAAATTTAAATTTTCTAAATTTGGCGTCTAATATCTAAGACGATTTGCCAAAAATTAAAACCCAAAAGTACATGTAGCATAGCCGTGTGGCCTGTCTCTGGATATGCTGACGGTTATTGTTAAAATTAAGGCAATATCTATAAAAACGACAACTTTGGTAATTTCGGATATTTCGCAGAATGTTCAAAATAGCTTTACCCTCTCAGTCACACCCACTTTTCCAGTAAAACCGTAGACTTCATAACAAAGAAAACTAATAACAACTAGACCTGCAAGCAGCACTGAACCGGCTTTCAGGAATCAAACAGGAAGAGTGTCATACAATAGCCCATTCATCGAGCTACCAAATGATTCTTTATTTGTTTTGATTTAGTGACAAGAATACCTATTTTTTCCCCGTTTTTTTCTCAAAATATCGGATATTTTTTCGACTACTTCCGATTTACAGATCATCGTCGGGATAGATTTAACAAGTGGTATGGGAACTTAACTTCCTGTACCAGAAGTTTCAGAAATATCCATTGAGCAGTTTAAAAAAAAAAGATTAGACAAGCATTTTCAGTAATTTAGCAATTTTTCAACTTTTTTTAAAGATTGAGGTCAGTTTTGGACCCTTTATATCATAATGAGGCTTTTAAATTTGGGTTCACACATTAGACTACCGATCGGATTCTTGAGTAACAGAAGTTTAAGAAAATAAATACAAGTAGTTTTCGAGATAAAAGCGTCTGAATGGGCTCCAAAAAAGAAAACACTAGATTTCAGAGTACCATAATCTATTGTCTAAGCATCATATTTGTATCATTTGGATGTCATAAGATCGTCCATTATTTGGGCTATCCAATGACACTATAGTTGTTTTGATTCGGTGAAATCTGGTGTAGTAATCACTTTTTTCGCAAAAGCACCATTCTTTTTATTTTACTTTTTACGTTGTTTTTTTTCATAATATCAGATATTTTTTTGACTACTTCTGGTTTTGGGATCATTGTTGGGATAGTTTTAGCAAGTTGTTTAGATACTGAACTTTCTAGACCTCCGAAAGGACTCTGAGTAAGAATAGTTTTAAGACAAGGGCGTCTCAAAAGGCTCCAAAACGGAAAATACTAAATTTTCGGCGTACCATAATTTATTTCCAAACCATCAAAATCGTATTATTTAGATGCCATGTGAAAGTCCTGTAATAGGACCATCCAACGACACTTTAGTTAATTTGGTCCGCTAATAGCTGAAGGAGAAATCAAGTTTTTAGCATGAGCGCCTATTTTTTAAAAACTTTTTTATTACTTTCGGTATGGGGATCATTTCTGGGATAGTTTTAACAACCGATTTTGGTACTTGAATTGTAACATGGCTCTATAATGATATATTACAATATCTGATCAGATAAAATTTCCCCCGAGATATCGTATGTTCAAAGGTGCCAAAAATGCAAAAATCTAAAATATCGAAAATTAAATTTTAATAACTCAATACATATTATACATCGTTAAAATCGTAATTAGGTCAGCTATCTGAATATATACTCTTCAAAAAAAGTAGGGGATATTCAGAAACAATACAAAACTGCAGAAATTCACTGCTGTTTTTATTAGAGGAGTGTATGTTAATAACAAGCCAATTGCCTACTAATGAACATAAACAGTTCATATGGGCGGCTTATCTGATGGCCCCATTTAACTCGCTGGAGGTAGTCATTCACGACACGAGCGTGGTGGGCAGGGGCATCATCATCTTGAAAGATGAAACGTTGACCTGCACGGTGAGCAAAGCGCAGAACTATCAGTCCCAGGATGTGGTCACGGTAGTACACACCAGTGAGCCTTCCTTGAACAATATGCAAGTCTGTTCTGCCAGTCATGGTGATTCCTCCCCACACCATTACAGACCTACGCCCGAATCTGTCATGCTGTCTGGCGTTAACGTTAGCATGACGCTCATTCACACGCCTCCAAACGCGAGCACACCGATCGGTGAAATCCAGAGTAAATTTGGACTATCTGAGAACATTACACGAGCCCATCTACGATTACCCCAATTTCTACGCTTCCTACACCATTGATGCCTGTATGCCATGTGGTGTCGAGTTAATGGGAGGCACAACACATGGTCGTCGCGCATGCAAATGGGCTACATGTAGCTGATTTCTAATCGTTTGGGGTTTAACTTGAATTCCTGTAACTTGGTACAAGTTTACAGAAAGCTGATTGGCCGTTTGTCCTCGATTTCGCAGGACCTGTGTACAAATGTATCGATCCTGGGCTTGTGTAGTGGCTCTAGGACGATCTGAACGAGGTCTATCATCAACATTGTGTGTTTGTTGGTACCAGTTCCACAGTCTGCTGATTACAGATTGTGACACATTAAGCTACTGATCGCTGTGTAGAACCCATTTGAAGCATGCCAATAGCACGTAGACGTTCATCATGTTGAAGACATCTCATTGCAAATTAAACGTAACACACTAAAGCAAAGATACGCTAACAGTAAATCTTATGCAAGAACCGATAGGAAAGCAAACATGGATAGGATAAACCAGCACACGGCAGTTTTCATCAACCCTTCCTTGAAGTGTCAAATTCGACAATGAACCCCTCCCACGTGTATGGGGCTATTGCGTGTCGCATGTGAAGCTCAGTGGTTCTGTTAGGGCGATAAGTTCTTCATCTGTAAACATACTCGCAAAGCATGTCAAGTGTCCATGACTAGTTATCATATCACAACCTGCATAGGTATTTGCATCTGAATATCCCCTACTTTTTTTGAACAGTATATAACCTTTTTTTTGAAAATCTGTAAAAATAAAAAATAATAGAGCATTGTTTCGAAATTTAACATCAAATTAAACGTAACACACTAAAGCAAAGATATGCTAAACAGTAAATCTTATGCAAGAACCGATAGGAAAGCAAATGTGGATAGATAAACCAGCACGCAGCAGTTTTCATCAACCCTTCCTTGAAGTGTCAAATTTGACAATGAACCCCTCCCACGTGTATGGCGCTATTGCGTGTCGCATGTGCAGCTCAGTGGTTCTGTTGGGCCTTCAAGTTCTTCATCTGTGAACATACTCTCAAAGCATGTCAAATGTCCATGATTATTTATCATATCACAACCTGCATAGGTATTTGCATTTCAATATCCCCTACTTTTTTTGAAGAGTATATAATGAGAAACATTGCATCTGGGTAAAAAAATAATCTTAAAAATAAAGGGAATAACAGAGACTTGTATTCCTGTAATCGGATTAACTTTCGGTTCCAGTTTCAGAAATGGTGGGAAAGAACTAAAAAATAGCAGGAAAATATCGAAATATTAAAAATGAGATAACTTTGAAGAGAACTTATATTTTTTGAATGAGACTGACCTCAGCTGTTCGAATATTTAGGTCAAATTTTAAAATTTTAAAATTTTAAAAATTAAGGACATAAACTGTCCCGTAAAAAGGTCAAAGACGAAATTCAAAATTTTCACATACCAAAAATTGTATTAAATTGAAATAAGTCGTCAATTTGGGATTACTTGTGGGACAAAATGTCAAGGACGTAATTTTCGAAAATCAAAAATCGGAAATAGCAGATTTAAAGTTTATGTTTTATGGTACTCAAAGAAAAAAGAATTAGTAAAATAGGAGAAGAATTCACGAAACAACAGTCTATTCTGAGTATTTCAAAGCCGTTAATGCAAATTTTCACACGTAAACAACATTGTCGGCACGAAATTCGAAATTTTGAAATACCAAAAATTTTACCCTGAACCCATCTACTCACAAATGTATTCATTTCAGATATAGGAGACGGATTCAACTAACTACCGTATTTTACTGGGTATAAGTCGATGTGGCGTGTAAGTCGAATCGTCAAATTTTACTGTTTTTCCAACCTCCATCCATATATAAGTCGAAGCGGTATATAAGACATATGTTTTTCAACTCCCCGGTAGCAATCTATTATCGAGATTCGTGACTGGTATACTAGTCTAATATAATACTGTGCCGGTGTACGCCAAGAAAAATTGGCCCATAAAATTAAATAGGCCTACGATAAAATAATCGGTTTATAAATGTAGGACTAACTTGATTAATATTCCAAGTTGTGGTCTTTGTTTATTTGAACCAGTTTATTGTCGGTGGGGATTCAAAAGGTCTTATCTGGATTTTGCTAAATTGTCCAGGAGAGCCAAAAAACACACAGAGGTTAAGAATCAAAATTTCTAATAAAACCGTCACGTCAAAATGTTGTATGTAAAATGTCATATTTCTGAAGCTTTTCTAAAATATTTCTGTACAAAGTGTATGTGTAGCCATTAAAACAATATGTAACTATCCGCAGGTATCAAGCTCAACATTTAGTGCAGAAATAAAGAGTGAAAGATAGTTATTTGCAATTTTATACAGCAAAGACGTATCTCAGGAAAATATTCACCTTTACCTGCTTCAGTTTCATAGAATTCACACAGTAGACGCTCAACAATAATTTCTATAATACATATTTAACTATAAAACAATACTGGCTACATTTCGTTTGATTGTAATACTTTGGTTAGACACAAAGTTGATTTCTTTCAAAAAATATGACATTTTGACTCTTAATATTTTTTTTTTTTTTGGAACACCCCATATACGACATTTTGAAACAATATCTATAAAACCATTTTTATTGGCTTAGAAATACGGCGACTAGATGAAAAGATGCCCAAGAAAATCCTCATTCTGAAGAAGCAAAAAAGTGAATTTCGCAAAATATGCCAGATACGACCTTTTGACTCCCCACCGACGTTATACTTCAATATATCTCATAAATTTAAGACAATGCAGGCTCTGTTTCTAATGACAGCTGTTTATAAAGTATGTTACTAAAAATAAAATAAAACAATGCAGTATTGTGTGATTAGTTAATTTAACTGAAAAATAAAAGTAGAAATCTTGCGAGACGCGTGAAATTACAAGAAACGGGGGGTAGGTCAAAATTTCAGAAAGATCCCATAGTTAGATTCTGAGATAAAAGTTTGTGGGAAAATAACAAAAAAAAAAATAATAATAAAAGCCTTAACAAAAACAATAAGCTTTCATATGAAAGCTTAATAAAAATAATAATCCGAACAAAAACAATAATAATGTTTTACACAAGCTACATAGTGTGAAACCCTCATAACATTTTTAATCTAACAATGTGAATCTAATTATTCTATTAGGCTATTTTATATTTATTTATTCTGAAATCACTAAAAAATATCTTGAATGCTCAAATATATTTATTTCATCTGAATCACTAAAAAAATATCTAGAATGCTATAATATAAGCCCCCCACCCACACCAAAAAAAAAAACACACACACACTTTAATAATGATTTTAGATGTTTTACGGTATGAAATCAATAATTAGGGTTACTTCCCTTGTCCTCCATACATTTTTAACAGCACGTGACCTGCAGTCGCTGATGTAAAAATATAAACGTACGATCCTTTAATCATCGATTTCCGTCGATGATATTTTCTAGTAGAAAAGGGGGTATTTTCGTTGTTATTTTGCATAAAAGAAATGGAAAATCATGCAATTATTATAAAAACAACGATACAGTTACATGACAGATGGCATAACGGTCGGGTTAAGGTGTCTGTTCAATGGAGCGTGCAGCTCAGTATTGCCACGCACAGCGCTCGTGCTCATTCATTATGATCTACAAGGCTATTTTTAGAACAAAGGATAGCGAAGACGCAATTAACTTATAAACAAGATCTTTGTCCGTTTTGCAAATTTTGAATTTCAATTTTTTTATAAATAAAAGCAATGCCCTCCCGAATTAAGGCCGTTCGCCTTCCATCGAAATATAGAAAGCGTTTGTGTTCTTCATAACAGCAGTCAGCAAGCGGAATTACAAACTCCATTTTATGATTTACATTTTACGGGCACGGAGAACACGCCACTGTTATCCTTGAATTTCACTCTGGACCCGGGCTGGATATTTCAAATATTTGATGAAATTATATAGATTCCAAAGGACACTTTGATCTATATTTATAAAGATGGGCTTTAAAATTACCTTGAATTTAATCGTATGTTTCGTTGTTGTTCCAACTCGAGGTAGCAAGACAGTTTAGTCTTGCTACAAAATGGCTCCTAAATGGCTTTTTCACAATTAACAAACCATCCGCTTTTGTCGTTATATAAATGTCAAGAAATGAAAAATCATGACGACAAATTTCATAAAAATCAGACCCCAGGTTTAAAGTTGATTTCCATTTGATAGTCAATTGGTGTAAAAGACTATCTGCCCGCTGACAGATAACTAAAAAGAAATGATCTTTTCTTGCACAGTTTCTTAGCACATTCCTTGCTAAACAATCTTTCCGATAGTCCTATTCATTGATACAGACTTCTAGATCTGTTGGGATTAATAGAAATAAAAACTGTCAATTTGGGGGTTTAGGAATAACGTCCCAATAAAAGCGATCTTGAGAGATATTATGGATTTCCTTCTTATGGGCGATTCTATTGCACACCACATACACTGCAAAATGGCGTCGCGCTGAAATGGTCACGTGACAGTAGAGATAGTCTCGGTCTTTGAGACTACGTAAATATCTTATATTAGATAATCCCGACTACAACCCAGCCCGCATTCCATCAGAGACCTACAACCAATCAGATTCGACACTGGGGTGAAAGTCGATATATATCGACTGATAATGTGAATCTCGTTGGATGCCCTAAAATGTAAACATACAAATTATTATGATTATATTATCACTAGTGCCTTCTGTACATTTATCCAGTGGATCCTCGATCAAAATACGGCTATGCATTTAAAATACCACGGTGATAATTCGCCAGTTAGTCATGAGCACAAATTTAAAATAGTCACGTTGTTTACGTAATACTGTTTTACTAATAATATGGACCGTACCGTAAACATGCCATGTACCATACCGTTCAGAGCTGTGGAATATGTCTGTAAAGCTGGTTTTGCATGAATTAACCTAGCTATAGGCTTTTCTCTTGTGTTAGTCTACGCCTTATACATTGTGATTGTTGCCAAATCAGTAAGCAATGGGGCTAGGTCCAGATCTAGGGTTAGGGTTGGGATTAGTGCTGGTCCTGTTTACATCTCGTGACCTATGACGAAAAATTGAGCTGGCCTTATCATTTAGCACTCACCAGGTCTATCCAGTTAATAACCAACGTGCTGTACTTGATAACGAAAGTTAAATTTCACCTACACGTTATTTTTATAAAGACTGGGCCCCGTTTCACAAACATTATCGGAGATTAGATAAAGAGCTGGCATTTCTCACTATAAGAATAATAGTTAAAAAAAACTAGATAACGAAACGGAATTTGCTGACAATATAAGTCAAATTGATCCACTCTGAATTTTGGGCCCAGCCTCGATCATCATTACTAAAGTCGGTACGATAAAAAATAATAATTTAGATATCATTTCAGGCAAAGACCTGCAATAGGAAGATTTAGCTCTTGCATAATGCAGGTTTAAGCTAAAATCAATAAAATGAATTTTAACTAAAATCAAAATGGAATTTTAATAGATTTTAGTTAAAATGCTTACACCTGCGCAGTGTCGATTTTTTCGTCAGCCGGAATACGTAAACAAATATGCTTCGGAACTAAAATTTAAACTGTTCACAAATAAAATGAAATGAAATGGGGTTTAACGTCCGACTGTTCTGCTCCTATACTCGGCTAATGAAGAAGGGCATACGCCATACAGTGTGCTATGAGGGGAATTTTGCCCGGGCAGCGGCACTATCGCCTACTCTTATATCGAATTCCAACTACCAGGGGATCTTTTACGTGCATTCCAATATATACACGGGACCTCGGTTTTTCGTGTCATCCGATGGACTAGACAGCTGTCCTTGTCAGAAAAAACTGTTCATAGGTTGAACTAACCTTTACGTATCAATTGTGAGAGTTTCATACGTTGTAGCAATGTTTGCACATGGTCAGACAGTCGTAGAGAGGTGATATGAATGATTGGGATGATTTTATTGCCGTTTATTCGATTGAAAGTATATCAGCGGGTTAGCCTTGAACTTGCCGCTTTCCTGACCTTGGCATGTGATTTACTAGATAACAAACCTCATCTCTCAACCGTCCGTATATAGCACCATCTCTGATGATGCTATATAGTTCCACGTAGCAAAGCTCAACGCAAATCACATCGGGCCTCAGTAAGCAAAATTTGTAGCTTGCTTAGAAACACAATTCCGCTACAAGGTCCTCCCTACTAAACAAACTATACATTTTTGGAAGACTTTAACACTAGGAACACAAATCCAGAGAGTTCCAAGCAAAATGTTTGCAATACGTCGATTTATTTAGGACCAGATGAAAATTGATAATTGTCAAGTAAATGCTATATTTAAACTAACAATTGTGAAGTTGACATAAAATTAAATATTGGCCATAACACCCAATGCCTTCATCCTCGGCAAAGAATATGCTATTGGTTAAATTTTGATTTAAACCAAAATGCAGAAAACATAATGGACAAGGGAACATACAGATTTTTGTAAATCCATTGACGGTATTAAAGAGTTATCTCCCTTCTGCCAAACTGTTTGGACACAGATCACTAAAGATTTCCCATTGACTCCAATGTTAATTCTCGTATCTTAGACCGGCTCTAACTTTTTCCCAAATTTTCGTTGGGTAGAACGCTTTCTACCACAGATGGAGCAACATGTGGCAACCACTTGCCCAAAAGCACGTATGAGGTTCTTCATGAAAAACTTGAGATACACAAGCTGGAAGTAGAGACAAGTAAACATGCAATTTCAGGCCCTACATTTCAACGTAACCAACCTCTCAACTCTTGTATCCTTCCGCATCAAAATTATGAATATTCACCAAAACCTGGCAGAAAATGTATTTTCAAACCCTTTTCCTCAATTCTACACCAAAAAGTCAACAAAAATCGCCATGCAAAAGGGGGAAAAAGGAAAAGGGAGAGGAAGACTAAAAATAGCTTTGGCCCTTGTTTCGTGGGTGACGGGGTGACGGCGTAGGAATATTTGGTGATCTGTGTCCGTTTGGAGACGGCGTAGGAATATTTGGTGATCTGTGTCCGTTTGGAGTTGATAACAGTATTTAAGGTACGGGTTGACTGTTTTATGATGCACAAGACCATGCGTGAGCACACAAGCCCAATATTTATATTCTTAATGGGGTCCCAGGGGCCTCAAGGGTTGGTGAGCGGGTATTTACCCAGAAATCATGGGCGGAGCGCCTAGCCTGATGAGCAAACAGATATATGTTTGACATTGGCTGAGCAATGTGGTTATGAAATGATGGGGACCAGAATCTGCCCGTAGTTTTGTAAATCGCATTGTAACCACGTAATTTTTTCCACTAATATATAAACCCTCACCCACATACCCTTTCAATTAGACCACACATTATTATATACGTCCACATTCATAACGTGAACGTATATTGCCGTCGCCCCTGTCTGTGTGTATGTGAGTGTCTGTGGGTCGTCTACAGGCCACAATTCTTAAGTGATCATCTTGAAACTTTACATACTTACTCCTTAAACCGTAAGGATGATCCCTATTGTTTTTGGTGCATGCCACGCCCATTTCTTGTATTTATTTGTTTGTCGTCTACAGACCGCATTTCTGAGCGTATCACCTTGAAACTTTGCATATTTATCCCTTCTACCCTAAGGAACATCCCTATAAACCCACATCCACATATCCTTTCAATTAGAGCATACATTAGAGACTTTTGGCAAGCGTAAATTTCTGGTCCGTATCGCGTATCCGTATGGATTTTGCGTGAGACGTCATCAATGTGCGTGTATTTATCATACGTGATACGGCACACGGATACGGCAGCACGTATCGAACAGCTTTCATACGGAAAAAGTCCGTATAACATTGTCGTGTCCTTTTACAGTCTTTTTGCTACTTTTACACGCTGAAATGTTGTATCGTAGCGTTTTTATGAATCTTTGTGTATTCTAGAACACGAAGGTGTATATTTGATGTGATTTAGTGAGGCGGAACCTTGCAAATCTGGTAAAGAGGTATAAACTTTCTGAAATGATACATCAGTGAAACCAACAATTGCAGTCGAGTCGAAGTCGATATCTGCCATCATGCTGTAATAGAACTAAGCTCAGCTGATCGACGCACACGTACGCGACGCGAAAATCTGCCAAAACTCTAAAACTACATTGACGCAACGTATCACGTATACGATACGGATACGTGATACGGATGGGAAAATTCCGCTTGCCAAAAGTCTCTATTATTATACGTCCCCTGTCCGTGTGTGTGTGGGTGCGTGTGGGTGTGTGTGACTGTTTATCGTCTACAGGCCACAATTCTTAAGATAACCCATACCATGTAGTTTTTTGGAGATTGCCTAACCCCAAGTGACAGAGCCATATCCATTTTTTCTTTGTGTCTCTGTTTGTTGCCGACAAGCCACGATTCTTTATGGGTCGTCTTTGAACTTGGGATATGTATTCCTTATAGCCCAAGGACAACAACTGCATTCCCCTACACCCTGGGGCAGAGCCACGCCCAATTTTTTTTTATCGTTTACAGACCGCAATTCTGAATGGATCAACTTGGTACTTAGGATATGTATTCCTTATAGCCTAAGGGTGTCAACTATTGATTTTGGTGAATGCCCCGACCCCAGGGGCAGAGCCACGCCCAATTTGTGCCTTTAGCGCCCGAAGGCCACAATTCTAAATGGATTATCTTGGAACTTGGTATACTTATTCCTTATAACCTAAGGACGGCAACTATTGATGTTGGTGCTCGATCCTCTCCTCCACCCCACCCCGTGCCCTTTCAGCGGTGCTACACCCACTTTTTGTTGATAGTTTGTCTGTAAATGATATACAGGTTGCAATTATACAGGTTTGGATCCAATTCGAAATGATCCAACATAGGGTTGTACCTATATATATATTGGTCTTTGTCCAGCCCCCAGGGGCAGAGCCACGCCCAATTTTTGTGTTTATTGTCTACAGGCTGGAATTCCAAATGGATCATCTTGGAACTTTGCATATTTATTCCGTATACCGTATAGACAGCAACTATCTATTTTGGTGCATCCCCCGACCCCCTGGGGCAGTGTCACACCCACTTTTTTGTTAATATTTTGTCTGTAAATTTGGCAAATCAAACCCAACGCCTAGCCTTTCTTTGTGTCTTTGCATATTACAGCAATTTCATATTTCATTCTCTTCATTTTAAAAAGTACCATATCAATCAAAGCAGGAATGTGGACTATATTACAGTGTTAGCGATGCTCTTGTTTTTACTACAGGTAGCTGTAAACCTCTAGTTCAGATCTTTAAGGCCAAATTACAAACATTTAAACTGAAACCGTATCTACAATTGTGTAATTTGCTATCAAATATAGATAATATAGATATAAGACAAAAACTAATTATTTATTGAAGTAAATCTCTTCAAAGTTCGTCGTTATCATCATCGCTGTCACTACATGTATAAACTTCAAATCCGGTTTCTTTAACAGTCTTTTTGTTT